CATTCAATTTCCTGTTTAAAAAGGAAACCACATATAGAAACAATACATTAGAAGAACATTATTAAGGGGGAAAAATCAAGCACTCAGGTCAGTGAATGCTAGTGTCACTGTTGCAAACTCTGAGTATGTGTCATGATGCAATCCTAATTACCTGGTCCATGCTGCTATCTGCACAAAAACCCTACATCATCAAGTGCATAGGGGGAGAGTGCTTGCTAATGACCAGCTATTCAACATACTATTTTGGCTCTTTTGATATAAGAGTCCATGCCTGAGCTACTCTACATGCATCCACACTCTACTACACTGAGAGAAGGATTGATTTCCTCAGCTCTCCCAGAGTACTTGCACTATGGCATCTATGGCAGGGATTTTCAACCAGGGAGCCCTGGGGTGCCTTCAGATCCTTTCAAGGATGCTGCAGTGTAACATGCAGTGTGAAAACTGTTGAGTGTACAAACATGATTCACAAGATAAACCCAGGAATTTCACATAGGAATCCATAGTGTCAAAAACAGACTGACATGTTCTGCACTTTTAGACTTCTTTGCAACAGAAGAATTGCTCTAGTATTTTTCTGTAATAAAAAATAAGTAAAAATTAAGAGCTAGCATTTCTGAAGGGGGCCCTGAGTCTAATGAGGGGTGCCTTGAGCTTCAGGAGGTTGTGAACTGCTGATCTAATGACTTCCCAAACATTACAGATTTTTTTTTAAATCACAAAGCCTTTCTGAGCAATATTATCCTCATTATGCAGGTGGGATGTGTAAGGACTGAGAAATGAATCAAGGCATCCATTAATTCTGGGTGCTTAATCTGAGGCTCCTAGAACTTGATTTTTTTTTCCATGTACTTAAAGTAAAAATTCCGTCCGATGCCTTGTGTCTAACATGAAGCTGCCAGCATTGTCCTGGCTTCTGCAGCCAGGCTGAGGAAGGCATCCTACTGTCCAGTCCCATAGTTCTCTACATCCCATGGGGAGCAGGCACACAGTTAGGGTTTCTCTAAAGGTGAATCATAATTCACTCTGCAGAATCATGCAGCCCCCATCCTTTTCATTGGGCAGGACTCAGACACCTCCAGAGAGGGATCCTTCATTATCCAGGATGTCCCTGGCTGCCCATTCACTCCAGTGGGGAGTTTTAGCCTGTACTAAGACACCTCTCTCTATGTCTGGGACTCTACTTTCTCTGACCTCGTAAGACAGTGGTATTCAACCTTCCAGTCCTGCAGGCTGAATCCTGCTCACGAGGTTAGTCTGTGGGCTAGATCCAGCAGTGGGACGGCACGCAGGGTCAGTGTGTGGGTGTGATCTGGTGTGCTGGCCCAGCCCCATGTGCTGTGGCTGTGGTGTGACCCCAGTGCAATCTAGCATGCGAGGTCATGTTGTCTGGCCTGTGGGGCTCTCTACAGGTCTGGAAATTTGGCAGCAGAGGAGCAGCAATCAGTGCTGCTGCTTCTTCCCTGCCTCCACATTTTTGGACACATGGGGCCCACAGGCCATATGAAATGGCCTTGCAAGCCGCATCCAGCCACAGACTGGAGGTTGAGCAGCTCTGTCATAAGACAGATGTCTTAGCAGGGCTTTTGACATCTGCGTGAGCAACTGCATAAACCCAGCAGACTGCTGTCCTCTGGGGTAGGGTCTGGCCTTTCTCTGTCTGCAGTCTGCTTCTCAAATAGGGACTTTTGCTGATGCTTAATGACAAAGACCCAACATGCAGACAAAGCCCCTCCTCTCATCCTCCGCACAGACAGGAATCCAACTACACAGCACTCATGCCAGGGTAGGCTCCCTGTCACAGTATGGCCCCGGCCCTCCTGCCACAACTAAGCCCACCCAGACATACAACCCTGGCAGGAACAGGGGACCCAAACCCTGGAGAAGGGCAGAGTCCAAAATGCTTCTGAGGCCCAAGGACAGCCCATGCCCTGGGGACCGGGCAGGGGCAGGGACTGGCTTTTCCTCTCCCTGCTCCTCACCTTGGTCACAGGACAGTGACTCTGCCCAGGGTGCAGCAGGGAAGGGGCCTGGGCAGGGCTGGAGATGGTCACCTGCCTCCCCGCTGACTGCTCCCTTCCATCTCGTTCTCCCTTTGCCCTCTGTCCCCCGCCTCTTCTGGCTTGGGGACTGCCATTGTTATTGTCCTATCCCCGGGGCATCACCACCCCAGTGGCTGGAGCCACTCCTGCCAGCTCTATCCCAGGGAATGAGAGTCCTTTTGCCAGCGAGGGCAGCAGCTCCACAGACCCCCGGGGAGCAGAGATGGGTGCGGAGGGGCGGTGTGTGCAGAGCCCCTGCCCTGCCTGCCCCAGCACTTCCCCGAGGTCTCTCTCCATTACCTGCAGTCTCCAGCTCAGCAGCTGGTGTCAGCAGAGCCTGGGGCTGGTGCCAGCCACTGGAGAAAGTCCCCCCTGGGCTGGGCATGGAGGGGCTGTAATGAAGGTCTCTCCCCAGCACAGACCCACTGGGGGAGCAGCAGCTTCCCAGCCTGGTTTTTCAGACTACAGAAGCAGCAGCAGCTGTGACCCAGGAAGCTCAACCCAGGAGCTATTGAGCAGAGAGAGACAGAGAGCAGCCTCTGCTCCTTCAGCCAGAGCCAGGGCCCTCTAGCGGAAAAAGCTCATGAAATCCTTTCCATAAAATACCCGCCTGGAGACACGACTGCAGCACAGGAGGGAATCTGGCCACAGTCTTCTCCCCTCCCCTGAGCAAGAGCACAGGGGAAAAATCAAAGAAAAGTCAGGCTGGAAGGGACCTCAGGAGGCCATGTCTATTCACATCCCTGCTCAAGGCAGGATCATCCCTGCCTAAACCATCTCAGGCACATTCAAAATGTTTGTCTAACCTGCTCTGAGGCACTTCCATGGATAGAGAGTCTATCACCTCTCTGCCAGTGCTCGGTTACCCTCATAGTGAGAGCATTCTTCCTGGCCTATTTTTCCATGAGAAATAGTTTCATCCATTTTTTTTTTTTAAGAATCATAGAAAATTAGGGTTGGAAGAGACCTCCAGAGGTCATCTAGTCCAACCCCCTGCTCAAAGCAGGACCACCCCCAGCTAGATCATCCCAGCCAAGGGTTTGCTAAGCTAGGTCTTCTAAACCTCCAAGGATGGAGATTACACAACCTCCCTGGGTAACCTGTTTCAATGCTTTACTACCCTCCTAATGAGAAAGTTTTTCCCAATATTGAACCTAAACTTCCCTTGCTGAAACTTGAGACCATTGCACTTTGTTCTGTCACTGGGAATAGCCCAGCTCCATCCTTTGTAAGCACCCTTCAGGTAGTTGAAGGCTGCTATTGAATTCCCCCTCTGGCTCCTCTTCTCCAGACTAAATAAGCCCACTTCCCTCAGCTTCTCCTTGTAATTCATGTGCCCTGGCCCCCTCACCATGTTTGTTGCCCTCTCCACTGAACTCTCTCCAATTTGTCCACATCCTTTCTGTAGTGGGGTGCCCAAAACTGGACCCAGTACTCCAGATGTCGCCTCACTAGTGCCTAATAGTGGGAAAGAATCACTTCCATTGATGTCCTGGGAATCTGATAAGTTTCTGTTTATCATTAGCAAAATATACCCTCTTAAAAATCTTTTGGAAAGGTTATTCTATCTACCTGGCTGGGCATGACCCAGATGTAGACAATCAGGGCTGGAGCAGGTGGGTCAGGAGGCTGTGGTCTATAAAGGAACAGGACATAGGCAGTCACCCTGTCTAGAACGATAGGCCAAGGAAGGATAAGAAACAGGGGCACGAAACCTGGCTGCGGTCACTAGCTAGATGTTAGGGAGCAGGCAGCTATAGCTGTATAGGACTGGGTCACGGGCAATCTCATCACTAAACCAGGAGCTGGTTGTTAGAGAACAGGGGTCTGGAAGCACAAGGGGTTAAGGAGGCAGCAAGGCTGTATGAAGGCACATAGGATCGAGGCTGGAGTCTGGAACCTGGAACAGACAGGCAGAAACCAGGATGAGCTAAGAAGCAGGACACGGGGAACAAACCAGCAGGACCAGGAACAGGACACCAGAAGCCCAGGACTAAATAAGGAGCTACCTAGTATCTTTTATTGGGTAGCCTGGTGGGTACTGAAAGGGCTACTGCTTAAAAGTAGGCAGCCACACCAAGCAGGCCACTGAGGCCAGCTTAGCCACTGGCAACCAGGCCAACACAGGACAGCAGGATCAGCTGGTGGCAATTTAGTTAGCTTGTTGCCTTGACACTGCCTGCCTTACTATCTACTTACCTTTCCTCTTAACCTGATAAATACCTGGCTCTAGTGCAGACAAGGTTCCTTGGGTGACTCTGATATCTTTTATTAGACCATTAGTTGGTCTAATAAAAGATATCAGAGTCACCCAAGGAACCTTGTCTGCCTATGTCCTTAGACCAACACGGCTACAACCTACACCCCTGGCTCTAGTGCTACACTTTTCCTGTATCATGTCCACTTAAGCATGGGTCTAAGTCAGTGATGCTCTACCTGGGTAAAAGCTAAGAGCTGGCACGTTCCAAGAGGTGTCTTGAGTCTAAAGCAGTTGGAAACCTCTGATGTTTTTGCTTGACTGGAGTCTTCAGCCTGTGCCTAACTTTATGCCCTGCTTGTGTTCCCGCTGAAGCTACTGAGATGCTCAGTTTGCTCACCATGTGTGAAGCTAAGCACAGGGTAAAGTGTTTGTTGGTTTGCAGTCTTATATGATAATTGCAGGGTATTACTGATGATTTGCATTGCTGTAGTACTGCAAGGCTGAGTCTTCACAGTGCTGAAATCTGTATGAACAACACCCTTAAGATTTTGAAAATGCTTCCCTTTACTACTATGAAAGTTAACAGAAGCTGCATGTAGCAGGGTCACAATCTGGTAGAGTAGCAAAACAAAAAGCAAAAGCAAATAAGAAAAAGGAACCTTTTTACCCTCATGTACCCCCACTTTTTTTTCCCCTTGTTACCATGTATCTCTGGATTGGTTAGCATATCCCCTGCTGGGCCTCTGGGCATTCCTTCCCAATTTTAAAATATGGATTTAAAAATGTAAATTCCTGTAGATTTCTTCTTCTGAATACATGAGACAACAGATGGAAAACATCAGCCAGACCACTGATAGCAACCTGTTACCAAAAAGCTATAAAAGAATCCAAAGAATGGTAAAAAAAAAAAAAAAAAATCTCTAAAAGTACAACAAAAATTATTTTAAAAATCCCTCAGTGACTGATTAGAGGGAGGCTCCCTGAGTGAATGAACCAAAGGCAGCCTCCCAGAAAGCTGTGCCCCCCCACCCCATCCAGAGCCCTTGGCAAGCCCTTGGGGCCAGTTAACCAGCAAGTCCCTGGGGACCAGAAAAACCCAGTCTCCGAATCTATCTGGCCTGACTACTTTAACTGCACTTCTATCCCTGTTTGCAGTGGCTGAAGGAAGGATACACCAGTGCTCACATGGCTGGGTTCTCTCGGGTCTCCCTTAACTACCCACTCAGTAACATTTGCAGCGTAGGCAGATTAATTCATGGGCCAGCTGGGCCTGGGCTCAGGGGCCCCTGCCAAACAGAGGCCCTGGATGCCTGGAGGATGGGCACAGGGGAGAGGGAGTGGGCCGCTCAGCCAGAAAGAAACCAGCGACTCCAGTGTGGACCTGCGGGCTAGGGTCACTGCTGCGCCTGCCCTGGACCTGAGGAACAGCATGTCCCACTTCAGCTGCTTCTCCCACTGCGCCAGTCCAGGATGGAGCCCATGGCTGCAGAGCAGGACTCGGACCCAGGGCCCCAGTGAATTTTAATCTGCCTCTGATTTGTATCAGTTGTTTGTTCAGGCAGCTCTAGCCACCCCATCCTTATGCTGTCTTTCCTGCCTGTGCAGGGGGCTGGACCCGATGACCTTCTGAGGTCCCTTCTAGCTTTACAATCTATGAAATGACAAGTTAAGTAAAAGTAGCTAGTGTTTTATGGGTTGCAGGTATCACTTGGTGTCAGTAGAGGCATGACACAGCTGGGCACCTGGGGCAGTGATGCTTCATGGGACAGTGCTGACTTCTGGTTGTCGGAGCCATCTGTACAGCCAATGACAGCTGTGGCAGCAGGTGTCATTTTTTCTGTGCTCCCCCTGACCCCTCCCCCCCACCCCTCCTCCAAGTCCACATCTGTGCTGCTGCTCTGGGCACCCTAAAAGAGTTCTGGGTGACAGAAATAGCAACTAAGTCTTAGACTCAAGAGCTTTCTGGGGAACATCCTGTTTGAAGGAAGTGCAGCAGGAAGCTGGAAAAAGCAGAAGCAAGGTTTTGAACCATACAGAGTGGCGCAGACAAAGAGGTAAGGTTGGTACATGGCATCGATTCATTGTGGCAGATAAAGAAGCAATAGGAGGACTGAATATTTTTTAGTTTGAAAACGCTCCAGATAGTGTAAAACATCCGTATCTCAGTGGATAAGTTTGAGACTCACTGAGCTCAATGAAAAAATGTTGTTGGAAAGGCATGGATTTTTTCACTAGAAATCTAGCAGGAGGGGAAACTAGGGGACCAATCTGTGACCACATCAAAACTGGTGGCCCAAACTTGGGAACTGTGTGAATCACTAATTAAAGATAGCATTGTGGGTGGCACTGCATGAGGCTTGTTGCATGCAAGATTATTGAGGGAGACTGATTTAGCCCTCAAACATGCTGTGGACATATGTTGAGTACAGGAAAAGGTAAAATGGTAAACTGAAAGGGCTGGGTAAACTGGAAAAAATGTATGTATACTTTATCCAAGAAGCCCATATCTGATAAATACTCAGAAATACATTCAAAGTCTGGAGGAGTTAAGAAAAGGGAAGTGTATGATGGGATATTCAGAGGTCCCTGCAACAACCAATTTGCTGCCAAACTTGTGTGACCAGGAGGTGTTATCAAAAATGTAGAAGGCCTAGGGAAGTGCCAACCCTGGGAAGAGCCTAGGTTGGACTGAATGGGCCTGGAGGAAGGACAGGGCTGTTGGAAGCTCCTCCCAAGCCTTGGCCTTCCCTTTGGCCTGCTCACACTTTACTGGGTTCCTCCCAACCCAGGCCTATGGAAAGGCCAGGGCTTGGGAGGCCCAATAATGGACCAGAGACACAGACTCATAGAAAATGAGGGTTGGAAGGGACCTCAGAAGATCATCTAGTCCAACCCCCTGCTCAAAGCAGGACCATCCCCAACTAGATCATCCCAGCCAAGACTTTGTCTACCCAGTCTTAAAAACCTCCAAGGATGGCGATTTCACAGTCTCTCCAGTGCTTTACTACCCTTCTTGTGAGAAAGGTTTTTTTTCCTTAATATCTAACCTAAACTTCCCTTGCTGCAACTTGAGGTGCAGCTTGCCCCATCACAAGGTGCAGGGCTGCTGAAAAGGGGAGGCAATAGGTCACATCTACTGGGAACCCCCTCAGAGCTGTCTGCAGTGCCTCATCCCAAAGAGCAAGTCCCTCTCCCAGTGACCTGACCAGCTAGAGGACAAGGCAAATTTGGCAAGATTGCTACAGAGACAGGCTCTGACTGAGGGGGACCCTCCAGGGCCTTGCTTC